AGGACTAGAAATCTATTGAACTTTGCAATAAAAAAATATAAAACACCCATTCTTAACACATGGGAATGTCAAAGAGTACAGAGCCAAGTTCAATCATCATCAGATGCAATTGTTTCTCTAGTTATAACAGTAGACCTTGTAATATATATGAATTGTTGTATGCGAGTAATATATGGGGTGGCCCATTCTGTAGTCCATGGTTCCCGGTATCTGTCCCAGTTTGTTGCTATAGGAGGAATTGGATGACTTGGCTTCAAGAATACCTGCACAAAGGTGTAAATATATATAAGGACATATGTATGAAATAAACAACTTATATTTAGATTATAAAATACCTGCACAAAATGACGATTGGAAAATTAAAATACCCTTTTGCTTCTTCATCCTTCCTTCACCTCTCAGCTCTCTCTGCGTCAAAGGGTCCAGAGCTATTTATCTCGCTCGCCCTTCTTAAATCCACATTCTTGCCAAAACCAATTTGGCTAAGGATTTTTTAAGGCATGAGAAGGTGAAGAAATTGTTTAAGTATTGACCTAACAATAAGGTGGGTAAAGAGCCCAAATCGTAGAATTGTTGATTCATCCCCAAGTTTTCAAATTTTTAATTTGTTTAAGAAAAAAAAATCAGAGTCCAAGAAATACTCATCTCCCAATGCTTTAAGTAATCCTAAAGATCTTAGAAATTCTGTTCAAATAGGATTACCTTACCTTTTCGCCAAAATCATTCTCTTCAACATCCATTCTCTTATTGTTTTCTTCTTCATAAACAATTTGATTGAATGAATAGAGTTCTGAGCACTAAAAAGCCTTCTTCACCTTCTCATGAGCAAGGAGTCGTATTCTTGTGTTTTTTTCCTTTCTGTCAAACGATAGGGTTACGTACTTGAGAAGTCTACGTCTTTTTCTTTTTTCTTTTTTTCTCTTTCTTTTTCCTTAAGTCCTTTTAAGTCATTTTACAATAGGGTTAAATTTGTCTTTAAAAGTTTAAAGATAAGGTGGGTGGGAAAATAGGACAAGTGGGTGGAAATAGCCGCACTCTATATATATATATATGAATTTTTGTGTTTTCAAACATAGTGTCATTTTATACTTCTCGTTTAATTGTGTAGCTAGGCTTTACTTCATGTTACTAAGATGGACACATGATAAATTGATCTGAGAATTGCAGTGTCATTATCAATCATGTCAGTTGCAGATCTGTGGCACAGCATGCTCACAAGAACATTTCTTTGAAACTATGTATGACACAAGCCTGCTTTTTTACCATTGGATTATTGTGATAGTTCAAATTAAACTAAATGCATGTAAATGCAAAGACTCGTGATCCATGAAAATGAATCATGCGCAAATTGTACTGGCATTAACGCCATTCATGAAAGTTGAAACAACCAAGCAAAAGGAAGTCTCATCATTTCGAAAACCACATCCAAACATGATTGTATGTCGAAGATGATCATTAATTCCCAGTAGCAAAAGCAAAACCACATAATACTTCTCGTTTAATTGTGTAGCTAGGCTTTACTTCATGTTACTAAGATGGACACATGATAAATTGATCTGAGAATTGCAGTGTCATTATCAATCATGTCAGTTGCAGATCTGTGGCACATCATTCTCACAAAAACATTTCTTTGAAACTATGTATGACACAAGCCTGCTTTTTTACCATTGGATTATTGTGATCGTTCAAATTAAACTAAATGCATGTAAATGCAGAGACTCGTAATCCATTAAAATGAATCATGCGCAAATTGTACTGGCATTGACGCCATTCATGAAAGTTGAAACAACCAAGCAAAAGGAAGTCCCATCATTTCGAAAACCACATCCAAACATGATTGTATGTCGAAGATGATCATTAATTCCCAATAGCAAAGCCAAAACCACATAATCAGAAAACATCAGGTACCAGCACACTCACAAGAGGGCGGGTCCCACTGCTCTATGCAACAGCCCTACACAACAATTTCTCCTACCCAATACTCTCTCCAATTTTAGACTCCAGCGCCGTACCACGTCGCAGTCACAATGTCACGGCCTCACAGGAGGAGAGCAAGGTGGGGGTGGGACCACTGAAATAGTTAAAAGGAGCCCGTGACTCCCTCTAGTCTTATCTTTGATTAACTTTTTGTCTGAATGTCCGTGCCCATGCCATGAAACCTTTTCCCCAACATTTAAGCTTCGCATGCAGCTAAGCTTTTAATTTTTGGTTTACATATAATAAAAGGGTTAATTACATTTTTTGTTACTAGAATTTATCTCAAAATCAAATTTGGTCACCGTGATTTAATTTTTCCGATTTCATCACTGTAGTTGCAATAGTTAAAAATAATTAACTTAAATATAAAAAACATAAAAAATTAAAAATGTAACAACAATTAAAAACCCCCAACCCACACCATTAATCCCGACCAGACCCCCAGCCGTCACGAACCCCCAACCCAAACCCAGCATCTCCGCCGCCCCATCCTTCTTCTTCCTCCTCCCTCTTCTTCTTTTCCACCATCCCCACCTTCGTTCCCTACACCCATTTCTCATTCAGACCCCTACACTCATCCCTATTTTACTTTTTGAATTTTTGTTTCTTTTCCCAATTTCACAGTGTAGATCATAGATCAATTAGATATACACAGATTTTGAATTTCTTTGTTCAACAAAATCCTCTGTTCATAGCTCAATCAAAGCCATTTTTTATTTTTGTCAAAATTTCGATTTTTTTGTAGCTCAACTGTGGCCCATTTCTCTCAATTTCTGATATGGACGAGTTTGGTGTCTTAACCGAACAATATGGGTTGAAGCCCCAAGGAAAATCGGCTCCAATGGCAGCATCCAAACGATCCACAAGCACCAACGACACCCAAGCCTGGAGTTCAAACAAAGGGAAATCGGGGGGATGGGGTCTGGGTTGTTGGATTCATTGGGGGTTCTATGGATGATTATTTTTTGGGCTTAATATCACAAAACGTCTTTAAGGTTTACGAAACTATCAAATTGGATTCTTAATTATTTTTTATTATCATTCATGATTCTCAAGATTAGTACGTGTGATCACAAATAGTCTTTGCTGTTAGTTTCCGTAAAAAACGCCGTTAGTTTGCTGACGTGTCATATATATATATATACCACTCAACTGTGGCCCATTTCTCTCAATTTCTGATATGGACGAGTTTGGTGTCTTAACCGAACAATATGGGTTGAAGCCCCAAGGAAAATCGGCTCCAATGGCAGCATCCAAACGATCCACAAGCACCAACGACACCCAAGCCTGGAGTTCAAACAAAGGGAAATCGGGGGGATGGGGTCTGGGTTGTTGGATTCACTGGGGGTTCTATGGATGATTATTTTTTGGGCTTAATATCTCAAAACGTCTCTAGGGTTTACGAAACTATCAAATTGGATTCTTAATTATTTTTTATTATCATTCATGATTCTCAAGGTTAGTATGTGTGATCACAGATAGTCTTTGCTGTTAGTTTCCGTAAAAAACGCCGTTAGTTTGCTGACGTGGCATATATATATATATATATCACAAAACATCTTTGAGGTTCACACACATATCACAAATGGTCCCTGTGAAATTTTTTAATTTAAAATTCATAAAATTTTTGTTTTCTTTTTTAAATGTTATGAATTTTAAATGCACGTGACATATATTATTGAAGATGTGAGCTCCACATATATATCACATCAACAAACTAATGAAGTTTTTTTCAAAATAATTTAAAATTCATAAAACTTAAAAATGAAAAAACCAAGAGTTTAGGGTTCATAAATGGTCCTCAAGGTTAAAATCTTCTATAAATGGTTTTTTCATTTTTAAATTTTATAAATTTTAAATTATTTTTTAAAACTTCATTAATTTGTTGATGTGGCATATATGTAGAGCTTACACCTTCAAAAATATAGTTTCACATGTATTTAAAATACAATATATATATTTAAAATTTTTTAAAAGAAAACCAAAATTTAATGAATTTTAAATTAACAAATTAAATTTTTTTGCATGGACTATTTGTGATAGGTGCGTGAACTTGAGTGATGTTTTGTGATATATATATACCACATCAGCAAACTAATGAAGTTTTTGACAGAACCTAACCGCATGAACCATTTGTGATCACACATACTAATATGGAGGACCACAAATGACAAAAAAAAACATTAAGGATGCAATTTGATAATTTCGTAAACCTGAAGGACGTTTTGTGATATTAAGTTTTTTTTTTTTTTCTCTTTTCTGTAGTTGCTGGGGTTTTGGGTTCTGACGATGATTTTTTTGTTTTCTCTTTTTTGTAGTTGTCGGCTAGGGTGGGGGCAGGTGGTGGTCATGGGAATGGGGGGAAGAAGAAATCGATGAGGGAGAGGATGAGCGTAGAGGAGAGGAGGAGAAGAAATTGGTGGGGGAGAGGAAAGAGAAAGAGAGAGTTTTATTTTTAATTTTTTTTTTTGTTTTTAATATTTTATTTATATTTTAATCAATTTAAAATTAAAAAAAGAAAATGTGAGATCACTTGTGCCACAGACAATTAACAGAGAGATCTGACAGAAACTCTAACGGCATAATCATATTATAATAAATTTAAAAGATCGGGGTATGTGATTGTAAAAATTGAAAATATATGAACTAATCTATATATATAAAGCAAAAGGCAGAGAATGGTGAAACATTCAAAATACCAGAAAATGCCCCTGGTTAATGCAAACATTAAGAATTAAAATTATTAATTAAAAGAGGATAATATGGTAAATTCACACTTTTTCATATTAAAAAAATTTTAAAATTAAAAGAAAAATTAGATAATGGATTCTCTTTTTATGAGACACAACTACCCATTATCGTTTTTAATTCTAAAATAAATTTAAATTTTTTTTAAAAAAGCCTCTCACAAGTGCGGAAGCACGTGCAGACAGGCTAGTATATCTTAAGTGTGTAACAACATGGTACTAAATTGTAATTAACGCTTTTATTTATTAGATAACAAATAAGAATTTACTAATATTTTTATGTCAAAGACTAGTAGCTAGAAAAGAAAAAAGAAAAGAGAAAAAGAGAAAAAAGCGCACCTTCATCCGATGTAAGTTGTAACGTTAACTTCTCTCTCTGTGTGAAATTGTGAAAGTGATTAACTTCACTCTGGAACACAATCTCTCTGCAATGGCTGTAAATGCCTCCGACGAGGTAAATCCCTTCACTTTATCTTCTATTTTCCAAATGAATAATCTCATTTCTCTTCTGCATTGCGAAGCTTACACTGTCTTTGAGTTTACGGACTCTTAAATTTGAAGTTTTGCTCACTACATATGCTCTTCCTGTCCAATCGACTTGCTTCTAGGTTCAACTTCAACTGTACGTTTTTTTTCTTACTAAGAAATTTAACTTCGAAGGTGGTAAAAAATTGGTATTTTCAACTAATAATCTCGCTAGAATTTTAGATGCACTACAAAATCAAGCGCATAATTCTAAGCCTTTCTAATTTGTCATCACCCAGCAGAATCTGGTATCTGTTGGGTTCATGAATACTAGCTCACTCACTCTCAGTTTACTAACAACGGTTCAATTCAAGGCTGATTGGCTCTGAAATGAAGTGGGTTTCGTTGAAACTGCATTACAAGACTGATTTTCTGATGGGCTTCGTTGTAGGCATCGGTATCGAATAGGTTTAGAGATGTCCCCTTAACACTTTTTCTTTCTTCATGCGGATTGGTGGAGATTTTTATGTTGAGCTTTCATTCTTGGTCAAGACATAGCTAGCTGGTTGATAGAGACTTTTATTGTACTGTTGGTGGACTGATGGACAATGCTATTGTATTTTCTTCACTTCATTTAGTAAGTCGTTTTATTTTCAATGAAGGAGAAAAGAAATGTTAGTAGAACTAGAGTAGTCTTTACAAGTCATGGCGTTGATACCCCTTTCTAATCAAAGGTTGCTTACTGCTTTCCTAAATTTTTTTTGTTGTGCTTGAAATTCGGTTGTTCAACTTTTGAATTGCAAGTCAATGTCGTCTTTCTTTAGTATTAAGATTGTCTTATATTATTTTTAGGTACCTAACCTATCAATGAATTCAGGAAAAAGTCTCCTAGCTATATTATTTTGAAGTTAAATGCTTGCATGCTGCCAAAATGACATGAGCACAAATATTGGATTCAGGTGCTTAATGTTGTATCCCTTGCATATTCAGTGAAAAGGAAGAATGTTTGACTACTATGGGCTCAATACCCTCAATTCTCAATAACCTTGTCTAAATTTCTCAACCCTTCAGTGGCCAGAGGGGAAAAAGGCAACCACCAAAAAAATAAAAATAAAAACTTATCTCCTCGTTTAGAATTTTTGGAATTCTCTTGGTTCTTTAAATCATCATATAGAAGCGGTCTTGTTCCAGTTTGTAGTTCCAATCAATACCATATGTTAAATGTTAAATTTTATTTTGAGGTACAGTTTTATGCATGCATGAATCTAACACATACATTACTGGCCGGGAAAACCTTACATCCAGGGAAGTGTGGATCAAAGTTGCAGCATACCTGTTAGCTGTTCAAATTTTAAATTGCTAAAGCAAACTATTGATGAAGTCGACCAGCATTGCCCTGTTGGTATATCTCTCTCTCTCTCTCTCTCTCTCTCTCTCTCTCTCTCTCCTCTGTGCTAAAGAAGAAAAGATAATTGTAGATAATTAGTTCATGTAAGCTCTGTTAGCTCCTTCAATATATATAATGGCATTTCATTCCAGATATTTTGTCTCTTCTTTTAGAGAAGGCTCCACTTCCAGCAAAGCTGAATGGTCCCTTTTACAGCTCACATGTAAGTTTCCACCTTCTAATATTTAATATTGTGCTGGAATAATTTTAGGCTTTTTTTTTTGGAAGTTCTGCTGTTTTGATTGCTAATTTAATGCTTAAACACGGAATACATACATAATTTCACACCTATATATGCTAGTCCTTTCTAGTGGGATCCCGTTTTCTAAGAAGTAAACAGGATAGCATCGTTGGGTCCATCCCTGAATGTGGTCCAATGATCTGAACCATCTAAATTTTGGATCATTAATTAGGGAGCATCCAAGGAAAAAGTTAGTAACCGGTAAAAGTTTGATCATTTAACTATCATGTTCAGTGTTTATCTGGAACACATTGGGTGTCTATTTGTTTGATCATATTTAGATGACTTAATGGTTCCTGGTTTGGTTATTATTATTTTATTTTATTTTAGTTTTTTTGTAAGGGGTTCCTTGAATAGGGATTTAACAAATGGATGATTTGGATTATTAGACCACATTGAAGGCCTCCTTATAAGTTTTCTACATATACATATATTTGTGCGCATAAATACACCTACGGGTGTATGACTTTGTCTAATAATTTACATTAGAAATCGAAAATGTGTGTACAAGTTGACATTGAACTCGGTCTGGCTTTCATTTATTCAACAAAAGAGGATACATAGTGACTAATTGACGTTTTCATCTTACACCTGGATAGGACCTTTTGACTTAACTCACCTGGATACATTAATACAGTCATTTTTATTTATTTATGGATTCTCCATTGACCTTTCAGTTACTATTGGCTCCTACTGTAGACCCATTTTGGTTATCGTTGAGTCAAGGAGTCTGTTTAAGTAAAGTAAAGACTTTTCTGTTTCAAGTTCACAGCATTTTGAAGTTTTCTGTTGTTTTGACTTAACTCACCTGGATACATTAATACAGTCATTTTTATTTATTTATGGATTCTCCATTGACCTTTCAGTTACTATTGGCTCCTACTGCAGACCCATTCTGGTTATCGTTGAGTCAAGGAGTCTGTTTAAGTAAAGTAAAGACTTTTCTGTTTCAAGTTCACAGCATTTTGAAGTTCTCTGTTGTGCAGGCCCCAGATGTCTTTAGCATTTCAGTGTTGCCCGAAGAAGGCAACAGTTTACAATGTGCTTCAGTATTGGGCTATTTGAACTTTTTAAAAGTTTATAATTCATCTAAAAGTCAGATGTGCATGGATGCTCAGTCGACTTGCCAGAACGGCATTGATTCACAAGCAAACATGGCAGATTCTCATCCCCCATGCATCATTGAGATAGATCTTGAGAAGGGATGTATTCAAGCACCAGAATCTGAAGAGGAAGCTATCGAAAGTTTGAAACGTGAGGGTTTACTCACTGTAAGTTACAAGTGGTCATCTTTTAATTGTATATCCTTGATTTATCTAGAATAAACTGCAAACTAGAGATGTTCCAAAAATTTCTTTTCATCCATTAATTTCCATCACTTTCGACGTTTTCTGTTTTCAACTATTTCTAATTTTAATATCAGTGGGTTACAACACTTTCAGAGGGTGTTTCGCAGACAGGCAAGCCTAAAAGTAGGTGGGAAACTTATGCATCTTCTATTCAACCATGGCACTTCAAGAGGTGCGTAAGATTTGTTCTGTTTGTTTCTAAATTATTATGTTGTTTGAGTCATTATTTTTCCGTACAACTTTGCAACCAAAAAGAATATAATGATAATCCTGGTGATAAGTCATAACATACAGATTCTTGTACCGAGTTTCCATGTACCTTGTGAGGTGTGTAAGATTTAGCCCAACTGGAGCCATAATGACTCAGTAACAAGTCAATCCTGAGTGAACTTTAAACTATTCTCATTCTCCGTTTCAACGGCATTCTTCTACCTTTAAAAGCATTTGACCTGAACTTAAAGATAGAAAACCTAGAAGATCTGACCAGAAAAAAAGAAAGAAAAACTAGAAGGGGTCACCTGATGTTTAAAGTTTAAACCTTTATCAGGACTCTATGTTATCCCTTTTTTTATTATTTATGTTCTCTAAGGCCACAATATGTTGAATCTTCTGGGGTTTTCTGCTTAAGATGCATATTGCATAAATATAATAAATTTTTCTAGAAGCATTACTTTGAGGCTCTGTCACTTTTATCTAAGAGATGGATGACTTGTCCACAGAAGTCTCTCTCACTAATATTTTTACACTTTTCTACACAGTAAATGAGAAGTTGATTTGATTCTCATATTTTCAACAGATAACCCAGTGCCTGAGAAAGTTCATGAAACACCAAACAACCGGTGGAGAAGATGCAAACGCACTGCCTCATTTGATTCCAGAAAAGTCGTTTTCCTGTTTTCAATCTTGTAAGTAGTAAAATAAACAAGCTGCTACTAATATAATTTTTTTTACAATTGTGAAATCTTTCTTCCAGAATACTATGTATTTTATGTCATGATGAGACTTTAAACAAGAAATTGACTTGATCAGACAAATTGTGATTATCATGACAATGACATATAATGTTTTAGTTGGATTGATGTGAATTCTAAACTTTAATGTTTTACATACACACTTTCAGTAGAAATCGTTATATTCTCAAGTTAGTACTTGATTTGATCTGACACTTTGTAACTGTCATGAACAACAGTAGGATGGAGAACGGTGGCTTTTTAGCATAGGGTTTAATTGATGTGAATATTAAAGTTTTCAAATATTTCAAATTAAAATAGTTTGTTGAGTGCTCAGATTCCATTCTAAGTATCATGCTTAATGTTCAGGTCTTCATTCTTCAAACAAGGTATAGTGTGCAATCACTAAGTATCATAATGCAGCAACATTTAATCTAAACTACTGAATCTTATCATGACATAACTTAAGACTCTAATGATTCACCAACAATTAATCTCAGGTCTCGTAGAGTCATCTTATACAGTCATTGAGTATCAAGATTCAACATATTTGGTCTTCATTCTTTCTAAGTGTCATGTTTAGATTAATCTTTGATTCACCAACAATTAATCTCAGGTCTCGTAGAGTCATCTTATACAGTCATTGAGTATCAAGATTCAACATATTTGGTCTTAATTCTTTCTAAGTGTCATGTTTAGATTAATCTTAAAATTAATTTAAACCTATTTGACTAGTTATTGGTTTCTTTGGAAAATCAATTTGGGGTACTATTCTTTTTTTATTTTTTCAAGAATATCAATAATCTAGTAAGAAAGACGAACAAATGTACCAGAAAAACTTTTGGAAAACCAAAAAGAGAAGCCAAAGTATTCACCTTTGGCCTGAAGGTGGCTCAGCCCTTGAACACGATTACATCACCAGCTACATACACTGTCAAAACTTCATGTCCTTCATTTGGGAATTCTGCATAACCTGTTCAGTGTCTCTAGTTCTTTCTACCAAGTTTGGTGCCTAGAAAGCAGAAAGGGACAATATGGCAGCCAATTATGAAAAAGCTTGGCATCAGAAACAGGATGCTTACCACTAAAAATGTAAAGCTGAACCTGTGCCATTTATAATTCAGTGAGCAGGAGAATTGCTAGAAATAGAGGAAGATAAGGTTTTGTGAGTGAAGCCATTATAGTATGGTGAAGATTACTGGTCAATATTTGGTTGAAAGAGTCAATATACTGTGTTGTTTTTTTACCTCCTGTTTTTGTGCAGTGCGTCTGCTTTTGATGTTGAGCTTCAAATTTCAAAAATTGTGCAAAAGATGGGATGTAGGGACAAAACACGATTGCAGTTTTTCGGAATCTGAGAGATATGGGTAGTCAGTATCAGTAGGATGGTGTGGAAATTGCTAGTAAAAATTCATGGTCAACCAATTAAATTAGGGACAGTATATTACAGTGGGATTGTTGTGCAGCACACAATAAAATCCAGAATACTAGTACCAGCTTCCCGATTTACCTAAAATTTTAGCTACAGAAAATCTGATTCTTCTGGGGCAAGTGCTCGCTAATTGGTGCTCTCTGTGTAAGGCACCAACAGATTCTGTGGCCCTTCTCTTGTCTACTGTCCTATACCTGGACTTATGGACCTTCATCTTTTGCATGACAGTAGTTGGGTGTTCTAGCTCTAATAGTGATGTGGTTTGGATGGGCCTGTTGCCTGCGTGAAGAGGCAGTACAAAGACTAGTGGAAAGTTTTCCCTCTTTGCATCTTTTGGTGCTTGCTATTTAAGTGGAATAGCAGAGCTTCTTTAACTTGTTTCTTTTTTTGGTCGGGTTCTGTTCTTTCCTTTGGTCTATAATCTTTTGCATTCAGCTTTGTGTTGGCTGTCACCTTTTCTTTGGCTTGGTACTAAGTAGGTTAGTTACCACTGAACAAAAAAAGGAGCAAAACATCAGGACATTAGATGTGAACTAGAATGGGAAACTGCAGAAAGTTATGGAAAAGAGGTAGGTTGCAAAGGAAGACGTGCATAAAGTATGGTAATCACATGATACATCTACAGTAGTTGAGATGATGTTCATTTTAGTCTAATGCTTCATCTTCGTACTTGACACTTGAGGATATTAGTACTTTGTAACAAGATTTAGTCATTCCATGTATTTTTAAGTTTGGTTGAGTCATGCAGAACTTGGCATTCTTGTTTGATATTTTTAATGTGTTTGGTTTTCTACTGCTTTACTACTAGTGTACAAATTGTGCTTTGTGGTCTGGAAACTAGATCACCCTTTCCACAAATGGCAATTGCTTTATTTTCGTTCCAAAACAAGTAAACAAACCTGAATTCCAATGGTTAAAGAAAGGTGTGCTTCATTTTTAAGGGTCATGATGCTTTTGTTGAAACTGCTTGTACAGATACTGATATGCCTACATTTATGGTCGTAATATATGCTGTAAACCCAGGAAATTCGGTTTTCCTTTTCTTCTCCATCGTTTTTCTATGAATGACAATCATCAATTTCTGTTTTCCAGGTCAAGTTTGGGGACATTGGTTTTGATATATCTGACATTGAGAGTTCGGCAGAGTGCAGATGGTTTCATTCATGTCTAATTCGCTGCCACCTCATTCATGCTTCAAATGACTTAGTTGCTGTTGTGTCTTGAGGGCTACTTCTGAATTAACCTTCTTTGTAATGTAAATATTTGGCCTTTTCTGGTGTCTTCTGTATATGGGTAATTAGATTGTGGTGTTGTAGTAATGCTATGTGGTTTGCAGCTATTGAAAGCTGACAGCATACTTTTTAATTTGAATAATCTCCCATCTTGTTTGGCGTTCAAACCGAAAAAAGTACATTAATGGGTTTCTGAAAGAAAAATCTTTGGATTTCTTGAAAGTAAAAACAAAAAAATCTTTGATTTCGAAAAATGGTTGTTGTAGTCCCTTCACCCCACTTTCGTTAGCGGTGTTGGTCCTCCGTTATAATTTATGTTCAATTTAGGGGTAACATGGTCATTTCAACTCCAACCCCATCACTCACACTAGTTCAACCATTCCCACTCCCGTTACCACCCGGCAGCTTTGTCCCAATTTCTAAATCCAAACAACAAAGGCAATGACAGAAAAAATAAAAAGACAGACCGCGTTTGGTATCCTATCTAAGTAGGGAACTCAAAAATTTTAATTTTTCTTAAAAATAAGGAGTTCTAAAATTCATTTTTAAGTTTCAAAACTTGTTTGGAATAAAACTTGAAAACTGTTTATAAATCTTAAACAATTTGATCAAGAGAGAAGACATGAAAAAAATTATAAATAAATAAAAAACCATACTTTCTGATCTCAAGTATTGAGTTTGGGTTTTTAAAACTGGCCTTGCCAAACAGATATTAGGGCTTTGAGCTCAAATTCTGTTTTTAAGTTTAAAAATTTGGGTTCAAATAGAATATCGAAGAAACCAAAAGGCCCTATTTGGTATCCTACTCAAAAAAATAAACTAAAAAACTATGATTCTTTTTAAAAACATGAGTTTTCAAATAGTGATTTTAAGATCTAAAAACTTGTTTGGTATTGAACTCCAAACTATTTTTAAGATCTAAAAAAAATGGAAATTAAAATCAGAAAATCATAAACCCTAATCCCAAATTGAAATTAACAAAAGAAAAGGAAAAAGATGTGAGGCATAAACCCAATCAATTCTGGTGGTGTGCAAGAGAGAGAGAGAGAGAAACTCTAAAACCTCACTTTTTTTTTGTTTTTAATAATAAAGGTGTTTTTGAATTTTTTTTGGGTTTGGGTTTTAAAAAATGGGCCTACCAAACAGGTTTTTGGGGCAAATCTGTTTTTGAGTTTCTAAAATTGGATCTAAATAGGATACCAAATGGGCCCTAATTTTCTTAACAACTTGTGTCTAATGGGTTTCACCATTTTTGAGTTTGAATAGCTTCCCCAAGTCTATCAGCCACAACAACCACACCTCTCTTCTTTGGGCGATTATCTAGTGAGAACAATAAATGAGAATTTTATATAAGAACACCATTGGATTAAATTGAACGATTAAGATTAAAACATGGTTTTAATAGGTTTCACATACAAACGGGTAAAACAAAACCCATATCGATTAAAATTAAAACATGGTTTTAATAGGTTTCACATACAAACGGGTAAAACAAAACCCATATACCCAATTGAGAGCCATAAGACATCTCCTCTTTTTCTTCAATTTTCCCTCTTCGTCCCTACCTGCACTACACATCTCATCTTTGACTTGTCTATCTCCATCTTCTTCTTCGACCTGTTTATCTCCATCTTCTTCTTCCTCACTCTCCAACCATTTTCTCTATACCAACCAAGGATTAAAATATCGGCCGTGGCCTCCAATTTACGGATATTTCGGGGGATATATCGTTATCATTTTAGGTATCGGAAAAAATCAACAAAAATGACAGATATAAGCATTGAAATACATAATTTTGGTCTAAAACTTTCATAGATGTTATGTACATTATCAATGAATGTATTGAACAAATAAAACTTAAAATTTACTAATAATAAGATATACATATGATGAAATATAAGTGGTATGTAATGCGCGTTAATGAAAAGTTTGAAAATAAAATGTTTATTAGAATGAATAAACCATGCATAAATTCATAGTTTATTTAAACATTAGATTACAATTTAGATAAGTGTCCAACTACATAAATGAATAGCTCCTATGAGGTTTAAAAAATGAGGAACAACCATCTAGATTCATACAATAGTCATACCAAGTCATGTAACCCGAGCAGTTTGTAAGCCATGTTTGAACATGGTGCACATATGTCTCTCTTAAGCTCCCTATTGTCCTTCCATATATGGGATATTTATGATTAACCCAACTAGTAGGTCCATAATCTGTTTCATCATCTTGAGCTCCATAACTAGTTCCACTATAATCAGACATGACATTAACCATAGCCATCATAAGATTCATTTGAGTTAGTACTAGGTCTAGTTCCTATGCTCATAGATCCAAAACTGATCGCCATGTCATCTTCAGATGGATTGATTGGTTGGCTTCTTTTCCTTGAGTATTGCTTCCCAATTGCGTCAATGCCTGGTCCAGCTTCTCTGCATCCATGATCCTCATCTTGGGTGGCATGAGTAAAATCAGCCTCGATAGTAAATGT